TGTTTCTAATAGCTTCTTGTTACTACTAGTAAGGCACTTGTTACTAGAAGCGATGCACTTGTTACTAGTAGCGAACATTGTTACGAGTAGGCCATGCACTTGTTACGAGCGATGCCTTTCGTCCAGCGCCAAGGCACATTGAAATGTCTTTGGCCACACAGATCTGTGCCTGGCTCAGGTCCAGTGAAGGTCCAGCTTGGAAGGTTGGCTTCCTCTTGAAGTGGCCCAAAGGGCCCAGAGTAAAGTTTGTTCATCTTTATTGAAATGCTGCTCTCTTGTTTTCCTCTGACTGAGGTGGTGATACATACGACAAATTTGGGGAGGAAGAAACACAGAGTCTTGGCTAAGCCGTACAGCTAAGCGGTGCAGCTCTAAGCCGTGGCTAAGCCGTGTGACGTGGTCATTACCATCCTTGATCAAGAATGTTTTTTTGGAGCGAACGACATGTTCTGCAGGTCTCTCGAACAACCATGGTGTACCTTCTGAGTATATACTATCAGTGGAAGTGTCAGAAAATAGGACACCTAGCCTATCCGTCCACGTTCTCTAGGCAGTCATTGGCACGTGGAATACTTCAACCATCTCTTGGACTTCGCCCGAGCCTCCGCCCCCAACACTTGGTCAAAATCCACCAAGACCTGGCTGGAGCATCATTGTCGGGCTGATTTCAGGATTTAATGACCCGTTTCAAGTTGCAAGTAGTATGAGATTACACACAAAGAACTTTAGAACCACTACTCATGCTCAAAACAGTGGACTCCCTGTTGGTGACGTACTTCTCAAATGGAGGAGGGAATCCTGCTTTGTATCGCTTCTCTCGGAAATCCCATCACCCATAAATGGGTCAAACCTGCAGCATAACCTGATACTGGTGATGCACCAAATGAAGCACACTGCTAGAAGTGCTTGAGCTTCATGTCTGTACCCAACGAACCATCCAACTGGTCAGGACTGGTGTCGCCCACGAAAGCCGGGCTGAAATACGAACACTGCCATGCGCGATCGTGGAAACCAAATGCAAAAGTAAAGCGAGACAAACGATCCAACATGTGGTCTCCCACAACACATCAGCACCCACAACACCGGTGAAGCTTCCATCTGTGGACACCTGAAAAATCCACCACGCTGCATGAGTTCTCCAGCAGTTCAAACCGCTCAAACCCCTCGAGCGGCAGCAAGCTCCTCCAGCCCTCCAGCCTCTTCTAGCCTCAACAGTGAACCACTTTCTCTTGTTTTCTGGATTTCAATCTGCATGGCAGTCTGCAGTGCAGCTGCTTAGTATGACTTCTCATGTGGCAGGTCCTTTCCGGTGCTCGCCAGCCCTCAGCCTTCAGGCCATACAGTTCCTGAACCAACTTCAACCGCAATCCACAACCGGCAACAAGGTGGGTCCCAAACATGTCGCCATTGCAGAAGTTCACCAAAATGAACTCATCCTCAGCATTCTTATCAACCAACATCTGCAAAGTTCTGAACGAAACGATTCCTGCAGCTTTGGTCTCTAAATCGGGGATAGGTCAGGCCTACGCTACGACCCCGGCGTCGATGGGAATCCTTATGCCGAGAAACACACGCTCATGCGGGGATCTACTGCAAATGAATGTCAGTTATTCTTGGTTCAGCGAAACTTACCCATGACAACGCAGAGACATGTATCTATCAACAACACAATATCCTCCACCGAGTTGCCTTCAAAAGAAGCATGTTGAAGAATACGTGGCCATTGCTAGTAGAATGGAGGCCATCACTATTAGGGTGGAGGCCATCACTATTAGGGTGGAGGCCATTGCTAGTAGGGTGGAGGCCATCGCTAGTAGGTAGGAGGCCATCGCTCTTAGGTTGGAGGCCGTCGCTTGCGCAAGCACTACACTTGGGCCTCGCGCTAGGCCGCCGTCCTGCACATGTGGGCGTCTGACTTGGTGCCGCGACTGGTTGCTCAGACATTCCGTTCGGCGCATGGAAATTTGAAGCTTGTTTCGACATGAAACTGATGCAAGAAACTGGGAGTGGCTTGCTTCTCCCGCGAAGCACCCCATCTGAAGACCGTTGCTCAGGCCACAGTACATTGCACATTTTGGTGCCACAGGAATCCACAGGCTACTAGTAACAAGTGCATCGCTTCTAGTAACAAGTGCCTTACTAGTAGTAACAAGAAGCTATTAGAAACAAGTGCCTTACTACTAGTAACAAGTGCCTTACTAGTACTAACAAGAAGCTATTAGAAACAAGTGCCTCACTACTA